AGGCGGATTCTGGACCCCAGGGAAGTCCCAGTCCTGCGTGCTTTTCAACCATATAACACTCTTAGGTGGGTCAACAATGAAAACAAGGATTTGGCCGGGGACACTGGGCTCATGAGGCCAGGTGAGCAGATCCAGGCATTCAAAGGTCCCTACTGACAAATAAACATTTGCCCCATGGAACCCAACCACCCAGCATCTCCCCAACATTCACCTTTTAAGTGTCTGCAAATGAAACAGATATAACTTTGAGCTTAAAACGGGATGCTTGCTTTTTGGCAAATCCATTGTAAGGGCCATTGATCTTCAGAGGCTGTTTTTCACTGACCCTTTGGAGTATGAGGCTGCACTTAGGTGTACCTTCAAATTGTAGCTGTTTCAGAAATTCAAATCAGGAGAGCGTCGTTGCTGGTTACTTGCACGGTACGTGGCCAAGACCATTTGGGAAATTTAATAAAATTTCATAGTCAACCAAACAAATGAAAAAAGCCTTTTCAGAGGAGGAAAATGGAAATAACTTTTTAAAATGCCCTTTGTCTTTTAACCATGAAGTTTTTCCTTGACTGTGGCTGCTTGCCACTATCATTTTTAGAGCTAAGGTCTCATGCATAAAGCCTAAAATTCTTCTGTTGAAAGGCACTTCCTTCTGCTATTTTATCACCTTCCTGGTTTTGTCTAATCTCACCCAGATTACGGTCGTATTTCTTGGCTTTTTTTAATGTGCACATTAAAATTTCAAACACAGAGTCTTTGTTCTGCAGTCTTGACTTTTCGTGCACCCTTAGACATATTTTGGGACTCTTACAAAGAAGAATGTTTTGCTTTAAATGATCTTATGTCTTTAAGCTTACTTTGTCATGTTCAACTTCTCAAATTTTCATGCATTCTGATGAGGTATTCTATTTAAAGAGTATTTTGTTTTAATTAAGCCCATCTTAAGAGACATTTGGTTTTTGCCAAGAATGTGCTTTCTCCCTTACAAATCAGTTATATTTATAACATTCATAAACTAACTTACTAGCAAAGGCAAAATCTTAGCTGCATTATGGCTGTGTCTTCTAAGTTCATGGGGAATCCAAGGGAAAAAGAACAGGTTAAGCGAAATCAAGACAAATAAAGACACTTAAACACACGTGGACTTTATTTCCAATATTTTTTTCTTCTGAAATACTGGGTTTTAAAGTTGTTTTATAGAAAAATTTCTCATCTCTGAGAAGAAGGCAGAGGGTAGGTTGCTATGTTGCGAGCAAATTGTGGAGAAAACTACATTAGAAATTCCAATTCTTCCTTTGTTCCATTAGGGTGCATCTAAAAATTCAAGTTTATCTTTTCCTGAATATGACAATAAACACCCACATAATAGAGTATATAGAAAATACAGAAAAATAGAGACAAGAAAATGAAAGTCATCTATCTCTTATCAAAAGGCAACCAATATTACTATTTTGGTCTATTTGGTTCATAATATTTTACATGTAGCTTTCTTATGTGGTTGGGATCATATCATATACAATAATTTTTTATCCCGTTTTTTTTTATTGTGGTAAAAATACACAGAACAAAATCCATCACTTGAACCATTCTTAAATGTACAGTTCAGTGATATTAAGTATATTCACAGCATTGTGCACCCATCACCACCTGTATGTATCATGCATGTATGCTCAGGTCATGTCCGACTCTTTGCAACCCCATGGACTGTAGCCCGCCAGGCTCCTCTGTTCATGGAATTTTCCAGACAAGAATACTGGAGTGGGTTGCCATTTCCTTCTCCAGGGAATCTCCCCAACTCAGGAATCGAACCTGAGTCTCCTGCATCTCCTGCATTGGCAGGCAGGTTCAGGAGACACCTTGTTTTCAATCCTCCGGGACAGGTGAACACAGTGTCTATAATTAGGTGTGCCTATTGTTAAATTCCACACCTCAAAGGATAGTTCTTGCTGAGGTGTGTGGAGGGAAAGGTGAAGAAGTGAAATGTGCCTCCAAGGTCACAGGTACTCAGACCTGCCTGGTGGGATGCAGACGAAAAAACCCTCCAGCAACTGAGCTACAACTTGTGTCTTTGCCACGGGACTTCTCACCGCATCCTGATACACTGCTTCTTGCTTCCAGGGAAGGGTACCTGGGGTTTAGACTGGTAAACAAGTCATCTCTTGGTTGTCAGTGATGGCTAGGGACAAGGATGATGCGTAAGTAAACAGGTAACGTTCAGGTGCATTTTAGCTACTATCATCGTCATTTCTCCCCCTACCAAATTTTCTCTAAGTAGCAAAATGGGATTGTTTGGAAGGTGGTTCCTTTCTTCTGGGCTTCCCTTGTGGTTCAGCTGGTAAAGAATCCACCTGCAATGTGGGAGACCTGGATTCTATCCCTGGGTTGGGAAAATCCCCTGGAGAAGGAAAAGGCTACACACCAGTATTCTGGCATGGAGAATTCCATGGACTGTATAGTGCATGGGGTCTCAAAGAGTTGGACTCAACTGAACAACTTTCACTTTCACTTTTCTTTCTTCTATATTTGTCTTCTTTTCTGATCTTGTGGGGTGTGGACAATTCAAGGGCTGGGTACTCATAGTCCAAGTAAGAAGTAGCTACAAAAATGTTAGATGAGAATACCTCTATAGACTAAAGAAGTCTAAAGAAGAAATACAGATGGCCAATAGACACAGGAAAAGATGCTCAACATCACTAATTACCAGAGAAATGCAAATTAAAACTATAATAAGGTACCACCTCATACCGATCAGAATGACTATCATTAAAAACGCTACAACTAACAAATGCTAGAGGGGATGCGGAGAAAAGGGAACCCTCCTACACTGTTGGTGGGCATGTAAGTTGGTGCAACCACTATGGAAAACAGTACTCAGAAAACTAAAGATAGAATTATCATATGATCCAGCAATCCCACTCCTGGGCATATGTCTGGACAAAACTCTAATTCAAAAAGATACTGTACCCCTATGTTCATAGCAGCACTATTCACAATAGTCAAGACATGGAAACAATCTAAATGTCCCTAGACAGATGAATGGACAAAGAAGATATGGTATGTGTATACAACGGAATACTACCCAGCCATAAAAAGAACGACATAGTGCCACTTGCAGCCACATGGATGCAACTAAAGATGATCATACTAAGTGAAGTAAGTCAGAAAGAGAAAGACAAGTAACATATGATATCACTCATATGCGGAATCTAAAATATAACATGAATGAACCTGCCTACAAAACAGAAAGACTCAGAGACACAGAGAAGGGACGTGTGGTTGTCAAGGGGGAGGGGTTGGGGGACTGATGGCATGCAAGGCTGGGGCTAGCAGAAGTAAGTGATTGTCCACGGAATGGATAAACAACAATCCTACTGGATAGCACAAGGCACTATTCCACCTCCTATGATAAACCATAATGGAAAAGAATATTTGAAAAAAGAATGCATGTATCTGTATAACTGAATTAATTTGCTCTACAGCAGAAATCAACGCAACATTGTAAATCAACTATACTTCAATAGAAAAACATTGTTTAAGGTTAGATGATGCACTAGAAATTAATAGGTGTCCCACGTGCTGTTTTTGGAAAACCAAAGTTCAATCTGATTTCATGGGAAGGCCTCTCTACCTTAGACCCCAGGCTCTGAGATTTCCCGACAGAAGACAACCTTATGCTGTTTTATCTTCAGGATCAACTACCAGTCTGCTCCACGTCCAGTGCCCACCCAGATCAGCGGGCAGCTCGCCCTGGTTTCTGGTTGTGGGAGATTCAGGTGAGGGCTGGGTAGAAACCATCTTTCCTCCACCATCCCCCATCTCTTTTCATATTCTGGTTATTAATAATTAATTTTCCCTTTTAATTCTCCGTGCTCTGTTCTTTTGGACCAGGCCAAAGCACACTTAGCTTTTTCCTATTTCCTTTCACTCTAATCATGAAATCCCTCCAGGCTGAAGCTTCTTCTCAGAAACCTGGCAATTAGAAGAGGCAGCAGGGCTCTCGCCAACACTTCATTTGGAGCCGCGTCATCAATAATTAACCCCAAGTTACGCTCAGCACACAAGCGCACCCGGTGCGATTGGCCAGGGCGCGGGCGCCTTCTCTCCTGGGTCTTTACCCTGTTCACGAAATCCAGGAAGCGGATGCAGCCCGTTCCATTAGCAGGAGTGAGCCGGCCGCTCTGGAACACTTAGAGAGGAAACCGCAGCCCAGACGCCTCTCTCCTGCACTTCAACTTGAGAGTTGTTCCTGCAGCTGTTGTCTGAGACCCAGGACAGCACTTTCTCCCACCGGCATCTCACAGGCCCGCCAAGGCTGCAGCTGTCCTGCTCACGTTTTTGTTTTGACTTGTTGCCTACTGAGTTGCATCCCTGGGGATGACGGTGGAGGGTGAAGGGTGGATTCCGCAGGGGCTGTGGTCACCTTGACCCGGATCCAGTCCGTGGCTAAAACAGTCATTGTGAAAGGGATCTGGATGGGTTGGTGGGCTACTTTTTTTTTTTTTTTTTCTTCCTTCCTCCCCTTCCTTCCAGGGAGAGGGCTGGGGAACTAGTGTTTGATGAGGACAGAGTTTCGGTTTGGGGAGATGACAAAGTTCTGGAGGTGGATGATGGTGGTGGTGGTGGTTGCATGACAACGTGAACGTCCTTCCTTCCCCTGAACCAGAGACTTCGCGATGGCTAACCTGGTACATGTATGTTGTGTAGATTTTCCCACAAAAATGTATACAACTTTTTAAAAAAACAAACTTTTTTTAAAAATTTCTGTAAAAACACTGATTTTATTATTCAGAAAAAAACAAAAGGAGGAGACAGAAACAAAAGTCCTGGTCACTTGCAGTATCTATCAGCTTTCAACTTGGCTCTCCTGTCCAGAAGTGTTTCATGCAAGAATCCTTCTTTCCTGGCCTTTTTCAGAATTTTACTGTCTTCTTTACTTATATTAAGCTTGAGGTCCTGGAAGCTCTGGAATTTTTTTTTTTTTTACATAAGTGATTTCACACTGTTTGACTTCATTTGTCTTCTTCTGGAATATCATCTTTTTTCTTGGTTTCTCTTTCGGCACAGGATCTGATCTTTATAATTTCTTCTTTTCCTGCCGTTTTACTTTTTTCTTCTATATCACTTGCTTCATTGCATCTAATAAAACAGCTATTGGAGGCCAGTAAAGCCATTTTCCCATCTTGTAAGATGGGTTCACACTGCTCTCTAAGTCCAACTGCATCTGCACGCCCAACAAGTCCGTCTGAATTTATACATAGGTTTTTTCCATAGCCAGATTTCAGGGCAATTCTGGAATCAGACAATTTGACAGCTGTAAACTGCTCTGGAGGACTAGGGCCCTCATCAGCTTCTTTATGTGAAGCTCCTAGTGTAAAAAGTCCATTGTCAAGTGCATGTATGTAGGTTCTTTTATCCATTTCAATTGCTAAGGTTCCTGAAATCTCACCAAAGTTTGTTACTATCCACCATATTCCAACAATATCAAGCTGAGTTTCTTCATCTGCTCCTCTTTTTCTCTTCTCTTTGCTCTTTTTCTTCTCACTCTTGGCCTTGGTTCCCTTGGGCACGAGTTTGGTGGACTTCACATAGGAGTATTTGGCTATGGTCGTGGCCAAACACGTGAACCGGAGCAGGAATGGGCGAGGGAGGCACGAAAGTGGAGATGGAGCCCGAGCTGCCCGAAAACGTACGCACCAGTGGAGCGGGCACTTCTCCACCCAATCCCAGGCCTTTTTTTCATCCCAACGTGAAGTCCCAAATAGAGTGCCCAGCGAACCATTTTAAAGTGCAAGTTCAGAAGCATTTAGTACATTTGTGATGTTGTGCGACCACCGCCTCTAACCCTCCCCCACACACTTTCATCACCCTCGAAGGGAAACTCACACCCAGGAAGCAGGCACTCCTCGTCCACCGTGCCCCCACCCCCAGCAGCCTCCTCCTGACTTTCTGTGTCTATGTATTGACTTACTCGAGATATTTCATGTACATGGACTCCTGCAGCATGCAGTCTTTTGCATCTGGCCTCTTTCACAGGACATCATATTTTCGGGGTCCATCCACATTGTGTCATTGCTTTACACGACTGAGCAATGTCTCATTGTTTACTCATCCTCCACTGGTGGCTGATGGATGCTTGGGATGTTTCCACCTTTAGCCATTGTTGTGTTTTTTTTTTAATTACCATTTGATCATTTATTTTAGGAAGTTTATTTGTTTGTTTATTTCACTTTATTTTTGGCCGTGCCTCATGGCATGTGGCATCTTAGTTCCCCGACCAGGGGTGGAACCTGTGCCCCTGAGCTGGCAGCGTGGAGCCTTGACCCCTAGAGACCAGGGAAGTCTTAAAAGTTTATTTTTAAATTAGTTTTTACTGGAGTGCAGTTGCTTTACAATGTTGTGTTAGTTTCGGCTGCACACCAAAGTGAATCGCCTATAGGTACACATACGTGTACATGCTAAGTCGCTTCAGTCGTGTCTGACTCTTTGTGACCCCATGGACTATACAGCCCAGCTCCTCTGTCCCTGGGATTCTCCAGGCAAGAATACTGGAGTGGGTTGCCATGCCCTCCTCCAGAGGCTCTTCCTGCCCCAGGGATGGAACCCGAGTCTCCGATGGGCATGGTGGTTTCTCCTGCATGGGCAGGTGGGTTCTTTACCGCTAGTGGCACCTGGGATGCCCATGTATACATGTCCCCTCTTCCTTGGATTTCCTGCCCACTTAGGTCGCATGGAGCATGGAGCAGAGTGCCCTGAGCTCTGCGGTCTGTCCTCACCGGCTTCCTGTTCCACCTCCGGCTGTCGGGCATCGGGCTGCGGTGACCGCGCGTGGGCTGGGATCTCCTCGGGCACCTCTGCCAGGCTGGTGCGGCTGCCGCTTTGCTGTCAGTTCCTTCCTCTCCCTCTCAGGAAGGCTGGCAGCTGCCCTTCCTCACCTGTGGCCAGGTCGGTCCTGCCGGGGCCTCCCGCAGCCTCTCTTGGAGAACCTGCCGGGTGACATGTCTCAGAAGGTCACAGCTGTCAGGGGACACCCAGCAATTAGGCAGCTGCCTCATCATGCTCCCTGGGGAGGGTGCCCAGTGACATGGGCAGGTAGTTCTGTCTGTCATCAGTTTTATAGAAGCGCCAGTGGAGGGGAGCTCACGGCCTTGAAGGGGCAGATGTTGGAAAATCCATCTCCTCGAGTCACCTCTCTGCTAACCCTACTTTCAAGTCCCTGGATATCCTATCCTACTTCAACTGGAGTGTGACCAGGGCGTGTGACACGTGGGGACGCCGACATGGGAGGGGAGGACAGTGCCAGCGAACTGTGCCCTGGTGCGGGTCACTGGACGACCCGCCAACACCAGGGCTGTCCTGGGGAGTCGGCTGCCACCTGATTGTGGGTCCAGCAAAGACGCGTGATGGGCTTTTAGGATGTGACCACATAGAGTCATCAGCTGAGGAGTGGCTTCGTCTTTGTTTCCCAAACCCTTTTAATTTATTATATTAAGGCAAAATTCACCACACATGAAGTCAACCATTTTATTTTCGTGTGTGTGTGTGTTTAGCTGCTAAGTCGTGCCTGACTTTCGGCAACCCCACGGACTGTAGCCCTCAGGCTCCTCCATTCCATGGGGTTTCCAAGGCAAGAGTACTGGAGTGGGTTTCCATTTCTCCCTCCAGGGGATCTTCCTGACCCAGGAGTCGAGCCTGAGTCTCCTGCGTTGGCAGGTGGATCCGTCACCACTGAGCCACCTGGGAAGCCCCTATATATTTAAATTTTTATTTTATATTTGAGTGTAGTGGATTTACAACATTGTGTTAGTTTCAGGTCTATAGCAAAGTGGTTAGTTATATATGTACATATCAGTTCAGTTCAGTTGCTCAGTCGTGCCCGACTCTGCAACCCCATGGACCGCAGCACGCCAGGCCTCTCTGTCCTTCACCAACTCCTGGAGCTTGCTCAAACTCATGTCCATCGAGTTGGTGATGCCATCCAACCATTTCATCCTCTGTTGTCCCCTTCTCCTCCTGCCCTCAATCTTTCTCAGCATCGGGGTCTTTTCCAATGAATCAGTTCTTCACATCAGGTGGCCAAAGTACTGGAGTTTCAGCTTCAGCATCAGTCCCTCCAATAAATATTCAGGACTGATTTCCTTTAGGATGGACTGCTTTAATCTCCTTGCAGTCCAAGGGACTCTCAAGAGTCTTCTCCAACACCACAGTTCAAAAGCATCCATTCTTCGGCACTCAGCTTTCTTTATAGTCCAACTCTCACATCCACACATGACCACTGGAAAAACCATAGCTGTGACTAGACCTTTGTTGGCAAAGTCGTACCTCTGCTTTTTACTATGCTGTCTAGGTCACACGCACGCACGCACGCACACGCACGCACGCACGAATGGATAGCCGCTCTCCTCCAGCGTCTTTCCCTATGTAGGGGGGTAGAGGTCCCTGTGCTACACGGTAGGTCCTTATTTACCTGAAAATGAACATTTAATTAAACTAATGAATTACTTGTCCTACTTATTTTTAGAGCCGGATCATTGATTTATTTAACTGAAGTATAATTGTTTACAGTGTCGTGTTAGTTCCTGCTACATAATGACGAGAATCAGCGATGGTGTACACACACCCCCTCCGTCCTGTGCCTCCCTCCCAGTCCTCTAGATCGGCCTTGAAACATGTGGGATCTTAGTTCCCCGACCAGGGATCGACCCCTGCACCCCGCTTCACTGGAAGCTTGGAGTCCTATCCACTGGACCGCCAGGGAAGTCCCCACATTGGCTATTTTAAAGCGCACCATTCAGCACCTTCACAATGTCATGCCACCACCCCCTCCACCTAGTTCCAAAGTACGTGCCTCCCCCCAAAGGAGCCCTCATACCCCCTGAGTACTTACTCCCCAACCAGAACCCTCTGTCCAGTCATTTGAAAGTTCAGCCCTACATGTGAAGCCGGGCCTCTTGATGGATGTCCATGCCACATGGTAGGAACTTTAAAGATGTGACAGAGGTGGGAAAAGAAGGAAGGGTGCGGATGAGGACATTGGTCATGTCCAGGCAGCAGGCTGGACACTCCCTGGACGTGTGCTGTTCCAGGGGTAACTGGAATGTTTGCTTTTTCTGTGTTTCAGAGGCTGGACGGTGTCTTAAAAGAGTCAGGGCAGTGGAGACAAGATGATTGGCAGGGTCTCCACTGTCTACTTGGGTGGCGTCAGGCACAGAGTTTATTTATATATATATTTTTTCTTTCCTTTTTTATTGGACGCACCTCATGGCATGCAGGATGTTAGTTCCCTGACCAGGGATGGAACACCTGCCCCCTGCAGCGGAAGCACAGTCTTAACCACTGGACTACCAGGGGAGTCCCATCCCACAATTTTAATTGATGTTGCTGGGACTCAGCCTCCTGGCCTCTGGAGGGGCTTAACAATACCTCTCTGGAGGGCAGCTAGGAGGGGACTTCGTGCAGAGGCTGGCACACAGCAGGTGCTTAGAAATCGTTATCAGAATAGTGTACTTACTCCACGATGAACATGGGATGATGTTGGGGATGTTGCAGAGACTGACTGTGCTGTTGTCAGTGGAGCTGCGGGGGAAAGCCACGCACCACCGTTGCCTGTTTTAGTCCTGAAAGTGAAAGTGATAGTTGCTCAGTCGAGTCCGACTCTTTACTACCCCATGGATGTAGCCCACTGGGCTCCTCTGTCCATGGGATTCTCTAGACAAGAACAGTGGAGTCAGTTGCTGTTCTCTTCTCCAGGGGATGTTTGTGACCCAGGGATCGAACCTGGGTCTCCTGCATTGCAGGCAGATTCTTTACCATCTGAGCCACCAGGGAAGTCTAGAGAATTAACAGGAGGTGGAAAGGTGAAGACCAGGGCAGAGACCTAGGAGGAACTTGCCTCCATTCAGGAGAAGGCGAGAGAACTTGAAAACCTTTGAAGAAATGAGGACACCATCACAGCCTGACTCACCTGTATCTGTAGGGTGTCTCTCTGGGATGGTCCAGGAGCCTTGCTCCTCCTCTCCTTTGAACTTGGAAGCTGTGGAGGAGGGTTCCAAAGGCCGTGACTAAGCTCCCAGCCAGCTGACCCTCGCGGCCCTCTGCTGAGCAAGCAGGCGCCGGGCTGAACGCGCCCCGGGCAGTGCATTCATGTGGCTGAGCAAGAATGTGACTTTTTTGTTTGCCGTGTTTCCAACTCTTCCTTTGCACACAGAAAAATGCTGCATGCTTAAGGGTGTGCCCCGTTTTTTCTGGCATAGAAGACACTTCTTTAATTCCCAAATAGGATCTGGGATCCACTCTCCTGCTGAGGAAGTCACACTGATTGGCCAGGGACCCCCACCCCTCCATTCCCCCACCCCCTAAGGCATCTTTAGCAAGATGCTACTTATTCTAGATCGTCAGAAAGACAGAATCAGACCGTATTTGTTTCCTAGTGACAAACGATCACCAATTGGGTGCTTAAAATCAACAGAAATGTGGGACTTCCTTGGTGGTTAAGACTTCCCGCTTTCAACGCACGGGGTGTGGGTTCAATCCCTGGTCAGAGAAATAAGATCCAGCATGCCACTCATTCAACCAAAAGTTTTTTAAAAATTAAACAAACAGAAATGAATTCTCTTCCAGTCCTGGAGGCCAGATGTCTGAAGTCAAGGTGTCAGTAGGGCCGACCGGAGCCCCTCTCCTGGCTGTGGGTGGTCCGCAGCAGTCCCCGGTGTTTCTTAGATGCTAGCTGCTTCCCTCAGGCTTCGCCTCCGTCACATGGCCATCTCCCCCACGTGCATCCTCTCCTTGTATAAGGACACCAGTCCCTGGATTTACGGCCCACCCTAATCCGGTATGGCTTCCCCTTAACTGACTACATCTGCACAGACTCTACTTCCAAATACGGTCATATTCTGAGGTCCTGGGTGGATGTGAATTTTGGGAGGCGGGGACACGATTCAGCTCGGTACATGAACAAAAACTATAAATGGCAGCAAGGATCCCCAAAATCCCAAACACACAAACCTGACACACAGAAACTCAGATTCGAAGCCAGACTACCTCCTTCTAATACAACATAATTTCATCGGTTTTCTTTTTGTTCGTTTTCTTTTTTAGGTTAAACTTCTGTCGCTCCTTCATGCCCCAGGCAACACCACCCGGCCCCTGGTAACCTCCGAGCAGCTGGGGCCTTTGGGGAGCAATTAGAGGTACCAGGGGTTCTCTGGGGGCAGCGCTCTGAGGGAACTTGCATGTGTTGGGTGCTAGTATACAGAAATACAGTTAGTTTTTATATGTGGCTGTTGCATCCTGTAACCTTACTGAATTCACATCTAAGTCCCAGGAGACTTTTTAAATGGATCCCTTGGAATTTTCTGTGTAGACAAGCATGTCATCTGTAAATAGGAGCACTTTTGTGTTTTCCTTTGTCATTTGTGTGCCTTTTCTTGCATTTCTTGCAAGTTCTTTCCAGCTCGAACTTCTAGGACTATGAGGAGTGGCGGTGCTGAGAGTGAAATCCTGGCTCCGTTCCCAATCTCAGGGGAAAATCTGTCAGTCTTTCAAAAATAAGTACGATGGTAGCTATAGGCTTTTTGTAGATTTGGAGGGGCAGCTGCGCTGCGTGGCACGTGCAGAGCAGGGATCAGTGTCTCTTGCAGCGGGAGTGCAGAGTCTTAAGTCGACCTCCAGGGAAGTTGCCCCAGTTCTTTATACGACTGAGGAGGTCTCACGTGTGGGACGATCCACAAGCAGAGGCGTGGAGCACTGCAAGCTGTGTTCCCGGACAGACCGGGAAGCAGCGCAGCTGGAAGGTGGCAGTGGAGGCAGAGAGCCCTTACTGAGACCCACCCTTGCCTCCCAGGCCTGTCACCTACATCCTGGCGGGCTTGTGCAAGAGGCAGCAGAGAGGCTTTCTGTGCGCGACAAGGATGAGCATCGATTGAGTGCTTACTGTGTGCCATACACTCTCGGTGTATGATAGCATCTAGCTCCAGTTCTCAGAGTAGCTGTATGGGGCAGAGTCACTGCCGGTTCCATTTCAGCCGCAGAAACTAGGGAGCTACGAGAGGTGAACTCACTTGCCCAAGGTCACACAGCCAAGAACTCAAAGTGCCTGCTCCATCTGACTTTAGAGCCTGAAATGTCCACTTAGCACAGGTGACGTGCTGTGATGCCTCATGGCTGAGACCTAATGACCTTACTGGGCAAATTCAGTGAATGACGGGAACTCGTGGCTGGCTTTTGCCATCCGACAAGTCAAACTGCAGACTCACACTTGCTCGGGCACAGTGAGGCTCTCTGGGTCACAGGGGTGTTGTTCTGCCACTCAATTGCTGGCTAAGAGCGGTTTCTATTCAGAGGACAGGGATCACAGATGTCCTGTGGCCTGATGTTTGTCATTTTCACATTTTTTTCCTTTTTAGTTGCCTATCCGACAGTCCACTCTGCACCTGGGGATGGGTTTTCCTGATGAGTTTAAGCTGCACATAGCAGACTCTGACCAACTTCTGAAGGGGACCTTTTAAAATTAGAAAAAAAATTTTTTTTTTGTTTTGGTTTTTAGTAGGTCAGGGACGTCCTATAAAAATGAGGAGCAAGATAAAAATAAGACAGCTTTTTATTACAACAGAAGACTTTGTGTTTGAGAACTCAATATCCAAGTTGCCTCGAGTGGGTATGTGAAATGCCTTTCTTCCAAAGAAATAGCTCAAAATGGTGGCCAAGTTATTTTTTTCCCCCCAAGTTTACCATTACTGAGAAATCTGACCCGCTTTTGTTCTTGCAAAAATGCAAGTGACTAATCAATCTGAAAGAATTAAGCTGCCCTTGGTAACATGAGGCCACGGAACTCAAGTCAGTTATGTGGATTCCAAGGAGGAAGAGAACACGACCAAGGTAGACTGCCCTGAATGATTGGAAAATGAGATGGACTCTGTGAAGGTTGTGATGTCTGGGCCTTTGAAAACTTAATGAGGATGTGACTTGACACTTGGACCCCTGTTGTTCACCTGGGCAGAGTGTAGAATGCCAGTCTGCACTAAGTCATTTCCACTCCAACGAGACATTTTCTTTCCTAGATGAAATTAGATTTCCGAAAGCACTGTTTTCCTTTCGTGACTATGATCTGGCAGTGAGCAGGCCACTGTGTGCGCCTTCCCCAGGCTGGACCAGACCCCTGAGCAGATGTAAGGGATTAGCTGAAGTTTCAATCTGCTGATGGTCACTGCTGTCTCTGCACCTCCTGACTGGTTATCAGAGGACACGGGAACTGCTTTGTGCAGGCGGCGTGGGCTGCCTCTTTCTGGCTGAGGGTGAAGAAACTGGCCTTGGCAGAGTTTGGGCTATTGTGACCTCAGTGCTGCGCGAGGACCCTTCTGTCCAACTGCACAGACTTTCTCTTGGAGGACTGAGATGAATGTACAAAGGAGAAGTCCTCTGACCTTTCCGGAATGTGTGCACATTTTTTTGATTTCTTAAGCTCTTTCTGTAATAGTCAAGGGCTGATAAACGGGTTTCAACATGTTTTCAAGATGTCTCTCGCTTCTGATTGCCATGCTCGTCCAGCAGCAGACCGGATCGGGCCCATTCAAGCAAATCCCGTCGCTCTCTCCTCCTCTGATACAGCCAGGTGCTGCGGTGGCCCACAGAGGCGCAGTGAGCACAGACTACAGGCTTGGACTGAGGAGTTTCAAGGCTGCAAAGCCAGTGGACAGGAAAACAGTAAGAGAAAGTCTACAGATAGGGTTGTTGTTTAATTGCTCAGTCGTGCCCCACTCTTTGTGACCCCACGGACTGCAGCATGCCAGGCTTCCCTGTCCCTCACTCTCTCCCGGAGTTTGTTCAGGCTCATGTCCATTGAGCTGACAATGCCATACACACAGTAGGATATCAACTTTTCAATTAAATCATTATTTGAGTGATTATTTGCTTAATAGCTACATTCCTCCTAGGTCAGAAGGCCCGTGAAGGCATGAAAGGAATCTATCCTTTTCACCATCGTGTTCCCAGCACCTGGGCAGTGCTTGAAACAAAGCAAGTCCCTAAATATGTATTGTCGTATGGAATGAGATTGCAACAAGGTTTTGGGTTTAACACTTGCTATCTCAGAGTGGTGTCTGCTACATGAATTGTTTTCCTTACAGGTTGACTTATAAAGCTTTCAACATCGAAGTAACATAGATGGGCATAAAGTGATTGCCTATCTCAGTGGATAACTAGGATACTTAATATTCCTTTGTAGGAGCAACCTGCATGTGAAAAGATTAAAAAGCTTATTTGGTGGGAGGGGCTTCTCCAGTGGCTCAGTGGTAAAAAATCCACCTGCAATGCAGGAGACAGGAGAAGTGGGTTAGATCCCTGGGTCAGCAAGATCCCCTGGAGGAGGAAATGGCAAGCCACTCCAGTATTCTTGCCTGGAGAATCCTATGGACAACGGAGCCTAGCAGGCGACAGTCCATAGTGCACAAACAGTCGGACAAAGAGTCAGACACGACTTAGTGACTGAGTATACCACAGCACATCTTGGTGGGATTTAAGAGACACTGGAAAGCAGCTCCTTTTTGTAAAAAAAAAATTCTAATTTTTCAATTAGATATTCATTCCTTTGCATACTGCAGGCTTTTAAGTCTTCCAATTACCCCATGCAAGTGCAGAGGTAAAGGTGTATACCTCAAGCCTTTATTCTCCTAACACTTTTTGCCGGCTTCGTGAAAATGGAGGCCCTGGCTAAGCTGTGGGGATAATATGGATCTAACTCTCTGCTTACAAATAACTGGACTATGGTTGATTCTGATGGACATGAGCTTAGGTGGCAATTGGAGAAGCAGTTTTCAGACTCAAACTTGGGAGAAGCATCTACAGATCACACTCTAAGACACCTAAAGAATTCGGAACTGACATTGAAAAGTGTTTAAAATTGATAATATCATTGAGTTCAAAGCTCCACGCGTCACATTATCAAGTTCAAAGTATACTGTCATTCTTTCTCAGTAACTACCTACGCTGTTATCTCCAAGATAACCAAGGCTACATGAACGAGATCAGGAAGCCAAATCTGAGGGCTGAGACCTGATGCCCAGACCCTTTTTCTGCTGTGCCCTTGTCACGTAAGCTGCCACACATCTTATCTGCAGCCAGAAGTATGTGGGGAGCCTTGAGCAGCACCCAAATGCTGGCTGTATAACTCTTGAGATTATTAGGAGATTGAATTCTTTGGAATCATCCCACAACCTCGAACAAAGAAAGTGAAAACGGCCCATTTTGATAAATGACAGCAGAAAGTTCCTTCAACTCAATGGGCCATCTGTAGATATAAAACAGTTGCTGGTAAACTGTATTAGAGATGAATTATCTCCTCCATTACAATGTTTCCTTTTCCTTAATGCAATTTAGTTCAAGCAAATTGAACAGAAACCTTGGGAGGAGTCACATTCAATGGTTGGGGGCGGCGGGGCGGTGGTGGGGGGAGGAGGCAGAGAACTTACTGGAAGCAAGATGTGGAATGGGAAGGGAGGTCCGGAGCATGGGCCAGCGGAGGCCTGCTGCCCAGGAGGCCTGTGCCGAGGACCCTGGCTGTGCCCACGGGAAATTGAATTCAGAGCTCCTTCTGAATCGTAAATCCAGGGCAGCTGGCAGCTTGCCCAGGGCAGCTGGCGCGAAAGCGCAGGAGCGTCTGCGTCTGGCCGACCCCTCTGAGGGTGGGCCCCAGGTGTGCCGGCTGGGGATTCGGTTCCAGCCTTAAGATAACGTTCATCCACGAGCTTTACACTTTATGAATGTCAAAGCGCACTCATCGCCAGGAAAGGAGAGCCTCCATGACACCCCAGAAAGGGTTGAAAAGCTGGAATGACTCTGAAATGCTCCCGGACGAAGGGGGAAGGCTTGACTTTTAAATACGTTTCTCGAGCTTTTTCGCTGAGCGCACGTGCGAGGAGGACCCCCACGGCCCCCAGCCTCTCGCCGCCGGGTTTTGTGCTCCGGACGCCACGTCGGTCCAGAGGCTGCTGGAAAGCGGGCTGGGCGGGGCGTCCGCGCCTTGTCCCCATTGCCTGCGAGGGTCCCATCTCAGACGCACCGGGGGCTCCGGGCGGGGCCGCGCGCGCTCCCGAGGGGGACCGGCGGGTCCCCGCCCACCGCGCCCGGGGCGGGGCCTGCGCGCCACGTGACGGCGGCGCCGCGCGCCGAGCGCCCCGCCCCGCGGGAGGAGGCCCGGGCCGCGACCCGGCCCGCGCGCTGCTGGAGCCGCCCGGCCGCCCGCGCGCTCAGCACCCGCGGCCCCTCGCCCGCCGGCCCCGGGCTCGCCGGCTGCGGCAGCGGCCTCAAGATGGACGAAGACGGCGGCGGCGGCGAGGGCGGCGGCGGTGAGTGTCGGAGGTGTGGCCGGCCCGCCCGGCGGCCTGGGGCCGGGGCGGGGGGGGGCGGGGGGGGGGCGTCGCGGACGCGCCGGACCGACTGGGAGCAGGGGTCCCAGCTCGAGGGGTTGGGAGTTCGGGTCCGCCCGAGGAGACCGCGCCTGGGCAACAGCACTGCCGGCTGGCGACCGCCGAGGCCCCGCGGCGCGCCGGGCCCCGGAGCCCGAGGCGGGGGTCCAGGGGGCCCCGGAGTTGGGGGCCGGCGGGGTCGTCACGGGGTCTGGGAGAGCGTCTGGAACGGCCGGGGTCGCCAGGAGGCTCGGGCCGGGACTTGGGGGTCGCTTTCCCCGGGGCGGGGGACCTTGGGGGCGACCTTCCCCGCCTCCTGTCGCCAAGGGCGTCCACGCCCTCCGGAGCCCAACCGCCGCTGACCACCCTCCTGGCGTCTTTCCCAAGTGGTGCGGATTGCGAGGGGGGGACCCCGGGAAACCGGGAGGGCAAAGTTTGGAATTGGGGGTCCCCTGGGTCCAGGAAGGGCGGCCGCGGAGAGAAGGTTGAGCATCGTGACAGTTTTCTTGGCTTTAGGTCCCAAGTGGTCACGGGGGTCGTTTAAGTGAGGAGGGGGCAGCGAGGGCATACGCGTGTTAGAAAGTAAGGGAACGTGACGGAGTCCGCCGAAAATAATAAGTAAAAAGTCAGAGAAGACGAGGGTCGGAGGCGGGAGCTGCTGCCCGCCCGCAGGTGGGACCAGAGAACCGGGCTGCCAGTCCGACGCTCAGTCACCTCTTGCTGGAAGATTCGCGTTGGCTGTAAATTATTTAGTGGAATACAGATTACTGTCGTGTCATGCTGCGAATTACGCCTTTCAGACCGAGTAAGGAGTCTGCATAATATCGGTGGATGGAGTGAGTCGTTGGCTTGGACGCAAAGGGTTAATATCCCTGTTTTTTTACAGGAACACTGGAAGTTAAGGATCTCTCTGTATGTGTTTTTGCTAAACATCTCCTAAATGCTGACAGACGGAATCATCAGAATCTCTTGTAATAAGGGAGCGTTTGGGGAAAAGAAAAAAAAAAAAAAACCTTAATTACAGGCTGCTGGAGCAGCTGCCTGTAAGAATCAGCAGTATTGAACGCTTCGGGATGAAGTAGTTAATCAAGGTGCTTTCTAGAATTTAAGTGATGCTCCAGGGGGAGATGTCTGCTTGGCAGTAAGCCGGTGGGGCTGGGAGGGTGGGAAGTTGGCCCGAGCCCTGGCATTTGCGGAGTTCACTTCTCCTAGTTGAAGCTGAGGGTAGCACTGTGGCACCCAGTGGCTTTGTTTATGATGGAAAGTTCTGTGGGAAGAAGGAGCCCAGGTGCGCACCCCCCTCCAGCCAGACTGCTGTCTAAAGCGTCCGAGTGATGAATTCTCCCTGGACGCCCTGCTTCCTGCCTGTCCCAGCTGGGGTAACGGTCCGGGCAGACGAGCAGCTCCTCCTTAGAAAATGAAGACTGAGCCACTATAATACTTAAACGTTTGACATTTGCGTCCAGGGAGCACCCTGGCTTGGCAATTTCATTCGAAGGTGTTTCGGATTCTGTGAATCAAGACATGAAGAAAACTTGAAGGTCAAAGCAGGTATACATGTTTATAAAAACGGAAGCCAGTATAGATCTTGAGGACCAGAGCAAAAGATAGTATTACATCTCAAAAGTCTCAAGACTTTGGGCTGCTAACATAGCTCTTTCTGGGGATCCAGTCTTGAGATGTCAGAAAAATAGCTCACACTGGAGGCTTGCATTAACACTATTCATAATACAGAATTGGAAATTGCAGTGCCTAATAGATTGGTGAAGTAAATTATGGGACATTTCCGGATGAAATATTTCACAAGTGTAAAAAATAAAGTCTTATATATTATGGTTTAAACAATGTAAAAACTGATACACAGATGTTTTATTTTCCCAGATTTTGTTCTCCAAGTTTATGGAATGGTATATATTACTTTAAAATTTGGGGAAAAAACTTATTAAAAGTTTACCCTGCAGTGGGAAAGGGATATGATTGTTTTTAGTGTATGTGTCATTTGATTCACTTCACTGGAACAGTCAACAGTGAACGGATACTTATTATCTGCTAAATGCCCCTATAACATTAACAGGTATTGATATAGTTTATAAAATCTTTCTTCCTTGCTTTATGAAAGACACTTTAAAATATGTTCGACATTCTTAGAATGAATATTTTGAGTCAGTGGAAATCTTAAGAGTTTTGAAACAAGGGTCATTGTACATTGATTATTGTATAAATTTGGTGTGCTTATATTTAACTGTATTGATGGGGGTTTTGAGGTTAACATACTACAGTTCGCTAGTTTTTGTCACCATTTAGATTTCTAAAAAAAATCGCTTCACTTTAAAATTCTTGTTTTTAAAACTGAAGTTCAGCTCTTTGGAAGAGAATAATTTCGTGTGCCAGTCATTTGCAAAACGTAACTTTTTTTGGGCATATTTTTAAGACTGTAGTACAGAACTTTGAACTGTATATGGGGAAGTCAGTTTCAGCTTGTTTACAAGAGAGGGTAAATAATCTATTCAAACAGTAGCCATGCCAGAGGCAAAATAATTTAAGAATCTTCTTTGCTAATATGTTGGTCAGGTTAGGAGGCTTCACAGGAGACTCCTGCTTGCTTGATCACTGAAGTTTTTCTCCAGGGCGTTATTTGTTCTTTAAATGCAGGCTAAGGAGAGAGGATGGTGGTAGGAATGGCTGGAAGGCCGTTCTGAGGAGGAACACGTCGGGGGTACTGGAAGACAAGCGCACATTGTTACTTGTAACCACATTGTTACTTGTAAGGGTAGTTGAGTGCAGTTCAGGTATTTTTGATTCCTTTGGGGGCCCTGGCGCCTTTCAGTTCTTCTGGAACAGTTCTTGAGACGTGTCTGTATTTGGAAGCTGTCTGGCTTGTTGCCACCGTCCTAAGGCTCAGTTTGGGAGCCCGTCTGATTGAACTTCCTGCATGGAGCATCTGTGGCAGATGAAGTGCATAGCTCTCCTGGGCTGCCCCCTCCCTCTTCCAGCCCCCCACGCCCACCCTGAGCCGCAGCCGGTGTACATGCGAGGGAAATCTGTGCTTTACGTGAACAGCTGCTCCACCTCCCTCAATAAAACTCATAAATTAAGACCAGGTTGAGATCCCGGATTCCGCCTGTCAGACGAGCGGTAACCCCCACACCTGAAGCCGTCTGTGGGCCAGAGTATCCATCAGTTACCGCTCTGAAGGGGGCAGCGCCCACCAGAGTTGGGTGGGTGTGGACCCATCGCTTGCCCTGCGCCCGCCGCGGGCTCGCCTCCTGGGGCCGTTCGGCCCGTGGGGGGCGCCGGCGAGTGATGCATGGCAGGGGCTCAGGGAGGCTCCAGGTTGCCATCCGCCCTCGTTCCGCCTCCTGCTGCCTGTCTAGCGGCTGGTCTACTTTGGCTCCAGCTCCTGCCTGTTGACCGAGGCCCTGAGCTCTGGAAAGCCATCCTTCCTCTGACCCTCCAGTGTAGAGATGGCGGCCGCTTGTTCCTCTTGCTAACCTCTGCATCGTCTCACTATTTCCTGTATGATCCTTGGCTTTTCTGTCACACGTGTAACCAACCCCCTGTTTTAAATTCCCTCTCCTTCAGCTCCTTAGAGGTTTTCTCTGGGTGGGCCCAAAAGAGATGCAGCAGTTTGGCACTGTGGAGATGCAGTTTCTATCCCTGGGTCGGGAAGATCCCCTGGAGGAGGAAATGGCGACCCACTCCAGTATTTTTGCTTGGAGAATCCCATGGACAGAGGAGCCTGGTGGGCTACAGTCCATGGGGTCGCAAAGAGTCAGACACGACTGAGCCACTGAGCATGCACACACACACATATCCTTTGAGGCAGCAATACTGGTTCAGGAATTTAGCATGTATTTTTATGTGTGTGAGATACAGGATTATTCACTGTGTGGTTTGTAATAGCAAAAGATGGGGAATAACCTGAGTTTGTGTTGCAGGTTGTATACCCAGATGGCGAGTGAAGATGTGAGTTTGTAGAAAGGAATGAGGAGACTCGTTAGGAACTGATGGGCAAAGACTTCCAAATGTTTTTCTAAGTTAGAAAAGCAAGGTGTAAGCAAATGTGCATTGTTTGTTACTATTTCCGTTTTCAAAAAGGGGGCAAAAAGGAAGTGCTTGCATGAAAATTCTCAGGAAGGCTCAACAAGGAACTCATAACAGTGGTTACCTGGTGGGGAGGCTGATGGAGGCAGGGAAACCGAAACCTCTCTCTGTGCCTTTTTTCTGCGGTTCAAAAAAAAGCTTGTCCATCTCCATTGTTTCCCAACTGGAAACCAGTTTCACTGAAAAATAGCACACTGGTAAGGAAACACCCTTGTTGAGAGAAATTTTGAAGTTGAAACGTAGTTGACTTACAATGTTACGTTGGTTAAAGGTGTACCACATAGTGCTTTGATATTTTGGAGAGTTTTTATATATTTAAAATGTCAGGATAGTATGTAGAAAGTTGTGGGATACATTACGTATTTTTTCAGCCTATGGATAAGAAATTAACCGCTTTCTTTTGAATGCTTAAAAAGTGGCTCCATGGGTGCTTTCAGAGTACTCTTTTCTAGAACAGTTATTCTGCAGATATCCATATTGTCCCTGCCAAATGCCCAGTCCTGTGCGAAAGGGTGAATATGGTGAATAAAGCAGCTGAATTTCCTGCATTCCTGGGACTTTTGTTTAGATGGGAGACTGATGAAAAAATGTAAACAGATGTATCAAGTCCTTGCAGATTATGCTGATGTGTGAAGGGAAGTGGAGGACGGGTGAGAGGTTGGGGGGTGAGCGGGGTGGGGGCGGTGGTGGGGGCTGGAGCAGGTCGGTGGGGTGGGTGGGGTGGGGGCAGGTGCCTCGAGGAGAGAAAACCCCTTCAGGGGTGGCCTGAAGGGGCCCAGGGCCTGGCCAGCAGACGGCCCAAAGCTGCTCTGTGTGGTCTGAGCGGAGAGCGGACT